CCTAGATTGTAAGCTTGAAAGAGCAGGGCCCTCAATCCCCTCATGTTTTGCATTGTATTGTATTGTTATTGTTCTGTCCCATACTGTAATGTACAGCGCTGAGCGAACTATTGGCGCTTTATAAATTTTGTGTAATAATAATTATTGAATTGAAGTTTTAATATTTAGCGCTGCACTTTTATTTGTATTCAGTTTTGTTGATCTTGTTACCTCTGCCCAATTTGTGCTAGCAGCTTTATACGTTCTGCACTCGCCTTATGTCGTGCATTATAAGTCCATTTAACATGATTTTCTATGGGACATGTTCACATCTCCACGTTTTCACCCGGTGCTTTTTTTGGAAAGGGTCAGGGACAGGGGCGGACTGACAACTCATGGGGTCCCCGGGCAATAGGGGATCATGGGGCCCCTGTGTCCTTGCCCAAACTCAACAAGGCCTATGAAAAAGGTACCAGAGCATCTCATGGGGCCCCCTACTGACCCCGGGCCCTCGAGCAGTGCCTGAGTTTCCAAATGGTCAGTCTGCCCCTGGTCAGGGACTTTTTTAATGCAAAAAGTAGCGATTTTGGCTCTATAGACTTCAATGGAAATGCTGCAGAAAAGCAGGTATTTCATTTTTGCTGTGTTTTTAATGCATTTTTGCCACATTTTTGATGCATTTTAAATCTGCCTAGCAACAAGAAAAAAAAAGAAACACAAAACGCAGGTTCAAAAAGGCAAAACTCAGCATAAAACGCAATGCAGAAATGGCTCAAACGCAACCTGCATAGGTGTGAACCTAGCCTAACGGAGTGAATATTTTTATTAAGGGCAGATGGGGCTTTGTTCTAGTACAAGAGCTAATTAGACATAAGAGAAAATAAAGTTGTGTTTTTTTTGAAGTACCTATTATAAGTAGATTAAATAACAGGTGCTGCAACTCAAAGAGTAACTCCTCTGGGGGATCTTTGTACATTGCAGGGATTTTAACAACCTTTGTTGCAGATTCCTACCTTTTGTAATTCTGAAGAAATACAGTAGCTGTTTTGTTTTGAAAGTGGCAGGGTTTGCATCCCTTTAAATGTGATTTCCCTTTGGGAGTTTCTCACCTCAAAAAATGGCATTTTTGTGGCAGAGGATTTTCAAAATCTGACTTGTATGTTTGTCCAAACGTCTGGGAAAATCAATCAACCAACCACACAAGCGGGAAATGGCATCTCTGGGGGGGAGGGGGGGGCACCATCAGGACCATCAGGCCCCCAGGTTGCCATATTGCATTGCATTTTACAGAAAATTACAATGCTGCAGATTGAAAAGGAAAGTTTTTTTTTTTTAAATAACATTCAATATGACCTGTGTTGCAATTGTATATGGTATTTTGTTTTATTACTTGCTATTTTTTTTCAAAGCAGAGTTACCCTTTACGCAGTCACTTAGTTTCATAGGTAAAACTGATCTGACAGAAGGTACCGCATGGCTAGGTAGACATTTTATACACAAAGCTTTTAGCCGAGATCATTTTATCAGGCTGTCACAGTGATTACATGACCAGGAAATACATTGCTTCTGGCCATTAGTGTAGAGCGGTAGCTGTCTGGTGGTAGCATGATCGCTATCCTCCGGTGCATACTTGGTCACAGACATTTTAAAAAATGACATCTATCCATAGTGACAGAGACATGATTTTTTTATGATGTAGAAATAAAATGGGAATTTTGTAAAATGGATCCTTTGTATCATAATGTAATTTAAAGTGAACATTTGCTCTTCACATGCAATGGTTGCCCCACCAGCTGCACATATTTACCTTCTCCCCCCCCCCCTCAAAACAAATAAATACATAAATAAACATATATATATATATATATATATATATATATATATATATATATATATATATAGTAATTATCATTTATAAGGAACATGCCATTCTCTCCCCTTTCTGTCTATGTGACAGTGCTGAGACTTGGCCACCTCTAAGGTTACACAGGGTGTCTTCTCTTTGCTTCCAAAGGCCAAGAAAAGAGTGAATCTGTATGGAAGTGGTTTTATAATTATGAATCAGCTGCTGCACCTGCAAGGCTCTAATTAGGAAAGTGTCAGGGTCTGCATCCCTTTAGGCTGGCCATACATTATACAATTTTCTTGAAAATTCTGCTTTAGATTTACCAAAAGCCATATAATATGAGGTCAAAGCAACACTTTAAATTGTATCCAATCAGGCAGGCCCTTGCACTACATCCTTGAAGGTTAATCTACAAGAAAGTGGGCAGAAATTGGACAGAAAATTGTATAGTGTATGGCCAGCCTTATATGTGATTTCCTATTGGGAGCAGAGGCGGACTGACAACTCATGGGGCCCCCGGGCAATAGGGGATCATGGGGCCCCTGTGTCCTTGCCCAAACTCAAAAAAAGCCTATGAAAAAGGTACCAGGGGTAAACATGTGTTTACTAGCCCCCTTCCTTTCCTTGAATGGATGTAGTAAGCAGTCGGTAGTGATTGCTCCTCTATCCATTAATCGCTGATAGTGAACACTATTTACTATACTGACGTTTTGTGAATGCATAGGAGTCTCTATACCAGGGGCGGACTGACAACTCATGGGGCCCCCGGACAATAGGGGATCATGGGGCCCCTGTGTCCTTGCCCAAACTCAAAAAAAGCCTATAAAAAAGGTACCAGGGGCATCTCATGGGGCCCCTACTGACCCCGGGCCCTCAGGCAGTGCCCGAGTTTCCAAATGGTCAGTCCGCCCCTGCTCTATACAGACTCCTATGCATACATGTACAGCACAGCTCAGGCTGCAGAGAAAAGGACTGTCTTCAGTCTCATTCTTTGTCTCAAAAAAAGAGATATCAGGGGTCTGCTTAGACCTCTGATATCTCACCAAAGCCCAACAGCTGTTTTTTATTGTTAAAAAATGAAAGTTTTTTTTAAAAACAGTTACAGTATATTATTTACTGTGCAATCCCCAAACCTCTTCTACTGGGCTCCCCGCTGGTGATTTTGGATCCTCATCTTCTGTGTCTGCCCCCATAGCAAGCCACTTGCTATGGGGCAGACATGCAGGCTGCTCCCAAGCTGAACTGTATGTGCCCATAGACACACACAGTGTGGCTCAGATGTGCATAGGATATGCGCATTAATATATCCACCTCAAGATGAGGTATGGTAGATGAATATCCTCCTTCAAGGAATGGGCAGCACAGCAATATGTGGGTGAAGACTGTAAATCTAGAGGTCTCCTTTAGGATAGACTGGGTCTGCAACCTGCTTACAGGGATTCCCTTCCTCTGGGTACTGTGTCAATCCGCAAATATCCATTGGCTCTGCAACTTAATGGCTCCATGGAGAAGCCATAGAAAAGGTGCCCATAGTGTAGTAATTCAAGTAGCTTTATTATGATCATAAATAAATAAATAAAAGCGAGTACAAAGTGTAAGGAAAAACTGCCACCTTATTTAAGATGGCCGCTGGACCAGCTCGTGGCTCCGGCGGCGTGACATCACAATGTGTTGAGCCTCCTGAGGCCTTTCGTGCTCAAGCACGTCTTCAGAGGAGGATCAACACTGCCATGGTAATGGTGGACGATTTATATAGTCCCCGCGCATGCGCGCCGCATCGCCGCCATTTTACCGTTGATCCACCTCTGAAGACGTGCTTTAGCACAAAAGGCCTCAGGAGGCTCAACACGCTATGACGTCACGCCGCCGGAGCCACGAGCTGGGCCGGCGGCCATCTTAGATAAGGTGGCAGTTTTTCCTTACACTTTGTACTGGCTTTTATTTATTTATTTATGATCATAATAAAGCTACTTGAATTACTACACTATAGACACCTTTTCTATGGCTTCTCCATAGAGCCATTAAGTTGCAGAGCCAGTGGATATTTGCGGATTGACACAGTACTCAGAGGAAGGGAATCCCTGTAAGCAGGTTGCAGACCCAGTCTATCCTAAAGGAGACCTGTGAATTTACAGTCTTCACCCACATACCGCTGTGCTGCCCATTCCTTGAAGGAGGATCTTAATCTACCACACCTCATCTTGAGGTGGATATATTAATGTGCATATCTTATGCGCATCTGGTAAGTGCGCAATTTTACCACTTCTCCCGAGCACTACCACCCTGATCTTCTGGCTCACTTGCATATTATTACACCATATGTCCACGGACTTATTTATACCGAGATCTTATCGTGATCATATTATTGACTATTCAGCGCTGCACTTTATTATATTTATTGTACTTTTGGGTTTCATTTGGTTACCTTGATGTGCCAGCTGCCATATTAGGAAGCGCTCATTTTGTTTTACTACTTTTTATGTGCTCATCTGGGTGTACTCAACTCCTCAGTCACAGTGACATATCTTCTTATCTCCTCTCGCCTTCCACTCACTCTGACATCAGGACAAAACTGATCTCATGCAACAGAAAGACTGAAACATAGTGTTCTCTGTATAACACTTTATTGTATCCCCCACTAAAATAACACTTACAGATATAAAAGCATAAAATGTGTATCCATCACTGCTCTGTGTACAGAGCCCTGTGTTGTTAGTAAACACAGGGCTCTGTATCGCGGTTTGCTAAGCGGATCAGCAGGTCCCAGCCATAATTTGCAACACAGATCAGGCAGGGGGTGTTCTCTATGCATATGTACATGATCCAGCGCAGAGGGGCCGCCCACCCATAGTACAAACACAGTTGGCAGTCCTAAATCAGTTAAATAAAGTGAGCTTTATTATAATGGCCGTAGTTAGGTGTTTCAATTAGGTCATTTCATCACCTGTATGTAAGGGCCAAGTACTATTGAGTATGCAGCTTGGATGCTTATGTTCCATTAAACCTACATGTGCAATCCAACCATCTCTAGATTGTTCTGATGGTTCATGTGACAGCTGCAGTGGTGGGGGGGGGAAGTACAGTTGCCCTGAGGCCAGAGTGTCTGCATGGTGCTTCCACACACAGTGCGGACCCCAGATTCATTTACTTGTCTACAAGTACATGAATCTCTCACCGGCACCAACATTTGTCATCTTGAAGCAGGGGCAGACTGACCATTTGGAAACTCAGGCACTGTCCGAGGGCCCGGGGTCAGTAGGGGGCCCCATGAGATGCCCCTGGTACCTTTTTCATAGTTTTTTTTGTTTGGGCCACAGGGGCCCCACGATCCCCTATTGCCCGGGTGCCCCATGAGTTGTCAGTCTAGAAGTGTCTTAGACACTCTTTATGAATTCCCCTGTGTTGGTCTCTAGGCAGGTGCAGTTAGCCACTTTGCCACTGAGTGGCTCTGTACCAAAACAGTGTCTGGTACAGCAGAGTGATTCTAGGTACTAGGCCCCTTTTAAGTATAGCCCTTCCACAGTGATGACAGGGGTGAGTCAGCACCCACATATAAGCTAGGTGGGGAGTCTTGGGCATGGATCTTGGGCCATGGGAGCCAAACACCACACACCTAAATGTAACCAACACACGTGGGTCCTGGACAGGGCAGAAAGTTGGATGGAGTGAACCTGTATGCAGGAGGAGCCGGCTGTAGATATTCTGTCCCTTAAGGAAGTGTGGGATAGGGCTGATTGTAGGCCAGGCTGTAGATCCCTGTATAAGGCTGCTTCCCCGGAGGGTTCCCAATAGTGCTGTACCAAGCTAGGAGGTGTCTAGAGAGAACACAGTCCTGTGCGTACTTATGACCCTGGGCAGAGTAGAGACTAGAAGGAGACGGCTTTGAGTTGCTTCGCATGCTTTCACTGGTAATTACTACAGAACATCCACTTTATATTATTGACTGTGTATGTTAGGTGACTGTATGTCCTTGTGATGTGACTGTCTTGAAATTCCCTGAACAACATCACTTAAGTGCAGCAAAGCTAATTATTGTGTAGATATTCCTTCTTTGAGATAAAAAGGTCTATGACTCGGAATGTTGAGAGGAGGCCTAGGCAAGAAGTAGGGCACAAGATGGCAGAGGGGTTGGCCTCAGCAGGTGGGATTGTGTGCTAGCAGGGCTGGAGCGAGGGTACAATTAAATACTATCAAGACAAGGGAAAATTATTAAGAGCAATCGTAGGTAGGGCCTTGTGCATGGGTGCCAAAACTAGCCAACAGCAAAGCCCCTCTTACATATCTTCTTTCTTTGATGTATTTATACAACTATATTGAACATGGTAACCGTAAGACAAGGGGAGATTATTAAGAGCAATCAAAGGCAGGGCCTTTATTAAGAGCAATTGAAGGTAGGGCTGTCACAAGTTAGCTTGCAGCCTTTTGTGTGTTTACTCTTACCTCCATGCTGCTCTTGATTCCTTCACATGTGTGTTGTTCTGTGCTCACCTATGGGCGTCGTCTGCTATTCCCTGGGTTTTATGTCCTTCCCTTCCATCACTTCCTGTCCCACCTCCTTGTCTGCCTGTCTATTTAAGATGTGCTCAGACTGGGCCACATTGCCTGAGCAACAGTTGTTGTTAGAGCTCCCCAGTGTTCTCCTGAATCCGTTTAGTATATCTGTGTACCGACCCCGGCTTCATCTCTGACATTCCTCCTGTATTGTCTATCCGTGCACCGACCCCGGCTCATTCCTGATATCGCTAGTGTTCTGCCTGTCCTGACCTTGGCTTGCCTACTGGATATCCTGTCTCTCCTCCCATCGCACCCTGCTCCCGCTAGCGGTCTGTTCTACCTCAGCTGGGTGTACCTGGGGGCCGCGACCTGGTTCCAGCCTGCTCCGAGTCCATCCCCACCATCAGGGGACCTGGTGAACAAGCAGGCTGGGGCTTAGACTCCGCGCCCTGGGGAACCCCAAGCTGTGGTTTTATAGAGCTAACTATCATAGACGTGACAAGGGCATTGTGCATGAGCGCCAAAATAGCCAACAACAAAATTAATTTTACATATCTTCTTTCTTTGATGTATTTCTACAACTATATTGAACGTGGTACCTATCATTTCTAGCCCAATTCTCTTTTTAATTAGCATTTTGATTACCAGACCAAAAAATTGCAAAAAAAAGTTCATTATTAGGGTCTACATACGCTTTAATACCTTATGAACATTTGCCTTCGGCAACCATAATCACCCGACTGTATAAATTGTGCACAGCATCACATTTTGATAACCTTATTTACATTACACTTATCGCACTCAATCCTGTAATACATCTTACATCTTGACAGTAGATTCCTTTTAATACACCCATTTAAAATATTAAAATAGAATGAAGCATACAACAATATAGTCTTTTCATCCCAATTCTTTCTCCCTGTCAAAGTTCTAGGCTCCATTCCTCTTTATAGCCGAACATATATTCAGTATATGTTTTCTTGGCTCCTGTTGATTTATATGTGTATCCGTGAACTTAAGAAGAATCATTCTTCTCAAGATAAATTCACTTTCCTTCTGAGGACATATATTCATGTCTCCCAGGACTGGCTGTCTGACTTTGTCATATACAATGAGACATGACACACAAAATTCTGTCCTAGTTTTCCTTTGAACTTGCTTGACCCAGGTCAACCTTGCAAGATGCAGAGACACAATACTAGCAGGTGTAAGGAATAAAGACATATTAATTGAACACCTGATGCATATTCTGATATCTCAAGGTGAACTGTATATATGACATGTGCAACCTCTAGAGATACTGGTAAAATAATGATTTAGGAACTGAAAATTGTCTTCTCTAGAGCGGAAAGTGAAGGCGAAAGGCTGAAGAGACCATTTCCATTATTCCATTATGGGGTGTGAGATTTGTGAATGTGTCAGGTCCTTTCGACTGTTGCATGCAATACACAGTACTGAAGAAAAATGTCAGTGATCTTTCTTTTTATTCTGTAATATATATATATATATATATATATATATATATATATATATATAAATCCCTTTGGTATAGTTAACATAAACCTGTCAACCTGCACACAAACATGAGCATATGACAGCAGAAATTATATACAAATGCTAGCATTGGGAAGACAAGCTTGGCCTGCCCTTTATCTTCTCCTCATTCGTCAGTGATATTTTCTCTTACAATGAAGGACAAACTGGAAGACTTGGGGTGGGGTGGGGAGGAGCTAAACTCATATTTTACAGGAAAAGGCAAGATTTGCTTTTAAAAGCACCATCTTGAATTCATTTTTTTCTCTTTTGTATCATCCTTTCCTCCCACCCTACTATTCATTTGTTACTTCTTGACTTGTGCCAGATATTCTCACCTAAGTCCCTTAAATCCCAGAATGGGGCTTTCGCTTAAAACAACTAAATACAGATAAATGGTAGCAGAGGCGGACTGACAACTCATGGGGCTTCCGGGCAATAGGGGATCATGGGATCCCTGTGTCCTTGCCCAAACTCAAAAAAGCCTATGAAAAAGGTACCGGGGCATCTCATGGGGCCCCCTACTGACCACAGGACCTCGGGCAGTGCCCGAGTTTCCAAATGGTCAGTCCACCCCTGCATGGTAGCTACATTACCTACCAAAATATTTCTAATCCTGTCTTTCCAGTTCAGAGATTTATGCAGCACTATAGAATGCACAGCCTGCCTGACATAGCTTTTCTCTGTTGCAGTTAAAGTGGTTCTAAACGCTGAAGGTTTTTATTTATTTATTTATTTTTACACCTTTGCATTGAGCTAAAAAAAACAGTTTCTACCCCTCAGCTCCCCCTAAATACTTACCTGAGCACAAGCTAGATCCAAGATCCTAGTTGCCAAGAGCAGCAGCGATGCTCTCTCTCTCTCCTCACAGGTGCAGAGCCAGCAGTGGGAGCCATTAGTTCTTGAAGTTGTTAATCAAATCCTGTGGGGAGGGAGTGGGGGTGGGGCTGAGCAGGACTGTGTGTGTCAATGGACACATATAGCCCAGTTCGGGAGTGAGCATGCACAAGTGCCCTCATAGAAAGCAGAAAGGTAGGAGGAGCCCAGATCACTGGTGGGGACCCCAAGAGAGGAGGTTCAGGGCCGATATGTGCAAAATCATTGCACAGAGCAGGTAAGTATAACATATTTATTATTTTAATAAAAAAAAAAACCTTTTCAGCTGCACAAAAAGAGCAGCAATGGACTTATGGGGTGGTCTTTCTGCTCTCTCCTCTTATTAGCATGCTCTTTGCACACCTATCTAAACTCAGCACATCTGATTGGCTCCAAGTACTGCCACTCCTTCTCTGGGATGACATCTTTCTGCTTACTTTGCTGCTTCCACACTTGCTTGGTTCCTAGTGCTGCCCCTACCTCTCTTAGTCAGTGAACTAGTGAACCACAAGAAGTTGGAGTCCAATGTATGCTTTTGCAATTAAAATAAATACAGTACTTACCTGCATTCATTGATTTTTTTTTTACTTGTCTTGATTTTAGCTTTAAAAGACAATTCTTCTCATGTATTGATTTTGCTGATGCTCACACTGGCTTCATTTATACAATGAAAATGTTTTTCTTGAGTTTTTGTATCTTCTCACCTGCCACATTTATTAGGAAAATATTTATTTATTACTATGTAAAATTCAGTATACGAACTGTGACACCCTCAGCTGGAGATAGAGTCCATGGAAGTGTATAAAACCTGGAAATTATTCGAGACAGTAGTTACCACTAGAGTTGTAGGGATGCAAACACAACTATTGGTTATTCAATTTATCAGGATCTGTCAAAAGCTGCCACACTGCATTTAAATACACAAATCCGTTAAAAAGGAAAAAATATAGGCTGTGTCTGAGTTTCTCCTCTTGAAAATGTTGATGCCAGTTGATTGATTGCCATGCTGATCTCATGGGTTCAAAGCTCTTAAGTCACTAACCCGAAACACATATATGCAGATCAAGAATTCTGATTCACTTTGACTCCAGTAGCTGCATCCTTTTTCCTGGTTTGGAACTCAAAAACGGAAGATCTTGGATCAAAATTACAGCTAGTCAACTAGCATTTTTAGAAAGTCAGCCTTGCTGTTTGAAGCATGCTAGTTTTAGCTCTGATATTAAAGGGCTTGTCAACTCCAATTTATTATAGGTGAGGCCTGGAGGGCTGAGTCAGCCCCTAGCTTCTTAAATGTATTGTATGGTCCAAAAGTGAGATCTACCTGTCATTATTCCTGGCTCTGTTGCTGTCCATCAGGAAGTTTTTGGAGTTCCCACCCACTGTACTTATAATGTAAAATAAGAGGGACCTCCTCATAATGGCAACCACGAGACCTCTCTTCCTTACTCC